TGTAGACTTAGAGGCTGCAGCTTTTCTTGGCATTAGTTATTCAGAATCTCAGCTCTAGACATCTACCTGTATTCTAGTGCTAGTGCTTAGCTTCTTGTTCACAAGCTTCCTTCCTGACCATCACAACATCGTCCTCAGGTACTTGTGAACTTCAGCTTTGTCAAGTAGTTTTATTTTTCCTTAAGGGTCAACTCGGGAACCTGATTTTCCTCCTGTTAACACCTCAAAGGTTGTAGCTGAAAAGGAAACACGTTTCTTTAAACAGAAGCCTCTCACAGTAGCTATCTATGTCTCACTGCCTTTTAATAGGCCACACTGAATTTAAAACTTAGAGATTTCAAGATATAAATCATTAGCATCCACATTCATTTGGAAAGGCACATATTTATAGAGCATTACTTTTTATTTCTGTAAAAAATTATATGTACAGGAAAACAAAGTGCTTGTGCAGATAAGATCATCCGATGACTTTGGTTCTTGGAAATTTGCCTGTCTTTCGCCCTCTCCTCCCACCTGTCTGCTTTCGCTGTGTGGTTCTTTATTCTTTCTCCCTACTCCTGCCTTGAAGAAACTTTAGTTATTATTATTTTCAAACATGACCAATGTGAACATACCTAGTAGTCACATTTTAACAATCATGTGGCCTGAAGTTCCTGTCTGGTTATGTCCTGGATTTGTGCCAAACAGAAACAGTTACAGACCCACCAGACTGCTCAGCCTGCTTTCTTTTATTTCCCCAGAGATACATACTAGGGGATTGCTGCCAACTCTAAGATCCATTAAATTGCCGAATCATCAAATCGGGGGTTTATGTGAGAGTTCGTGTGTGTGTGTGTGTGTGTGTGTGTGTGTGTTTCCAGGAACCATCTGGCAGTCAGATTTCAACCACTGATTACTAAGGATGCTTCTATCAAGTCCACACTTTGCCCAAATGGCCTTTCACACTTTTTTGTATAAGGCCTTGGCAGCAGCCACAAGTTGAAGACTAAAACAAATAGCAATTGTTCTTAGTGTAGGACTCAGTGACAAAGCACGCCCAAGTTTTCAAAAGCAGGCTGTCCTTTCTGCTGGTAATTCTATTTGACCTTTAATAAAGCATAGTTGCTTACTATTTTAGTAGCCTAGATTAACAGCTTCTAAAAGATCCTTTTAAGGAGGTCAAATAGGAAAGGAACAGAGCCAAAGTGTTTCTTTTTTTTCTTCTGCTCTTGCCCAAAGCGTGAATCATCCCACTTCAAAACAGCTACAAAGTCCAAGGGGATAAGTTGCTTGCTTTGCTTAGGAGGGGGTTGGGGCAGGGAATAGAAATGATTATTTCTCCAGAAAACCAAAATGATTTTCAATTCCTATGTTATTTCTTCTGCATACAAAGGTAACACTTTTAAATTTAGACATTCTAAATTTGCAGGAATTATAAACCGATAATGTGCTGATTTTTATACCTTTTCGGATGAGTTCTTTTTTCATGTTTTTCTCTTTACTTTTTTTCCACCGCTCTCTGTTATTCACTCTTTAATGTCTTTATTTGAAATGAAAAAAATCAACCTCAGGTAAACCAGGAAAGAGTTTAAGCCCTTCTTTTCTGTTAGGCGCTCACCCTGCAGAGGTCCCCTACTGCTGTGCTGAATGTCTCTCCCAAACAGCTTCTGATACCCAAGAGTCTGTGCAGCTTGAACACACTGCAGCTGCTTTTGGCAAGAGACCAAGAGACCCACCCTTCACATTGTCATTCTTTTGGACAAAGAATATTGTAGTTGATTTTTTTCTACAGAAATGAAGCATTTGTTATTTTTTACTGTAATTGCTTCCTTTGTTGCTTGATGTTAATTCTGTTGCCCTCCTACATGCGTGTGAATAGCTGGGATGTTTTCGGTAGAGGTTTATGGATTGATACTTTTTCATTCTGCAGAATTTGCTAAAAATTAAGTCAACACTCACAAGGAAACAGGTTCAAATGTACTGGCTGGCAGATGTCTTTATCTCCTGTATATCCTGATACAGCTACTTAACAAAGTTATGTAACTACTAAGTGGGTTTCTGATGTGAAATAGAGATTCTGCTATGGAGGAATACTTGGATGACATGGTCATAGCCTTGCCCATCCAGTAAACATCTCAGGTGTGGGGTGAATCTGAACAGTCTCTGGACATATCCTTGCTATTTGTCAAGTCAGGCAGAGTCACAATCCAGTATAATCATGCTGTAGGATTCTGCTTAATGCAGCATCTTTTAGATTATTTTTAAATATTGCCTTTCTCTTTTCTATGTTTTAAAACTAAGACTCTCCTCAACATGACAAATCTACAGTTTCTAGAAAGAATATCAAAATAGTTTTTCTTCTAGGTACGTACCTATGTGGAGACTTTCTTCAGAAGCTTCCATCAGAGTAACAGATTGCACTGTAGTGAACACAGAAACATGCAAGAAGCCAGCTAAATTCTGTTAGGCCAGATATCAAGAAGTATGCAAATATGTAGAAACAATGCTGCTTTACCTTTATAGAATTTGAGGAAAAGCATTATTTAATTTTAAAAACACTTCCATAAGAACATATCAGCATGTATGTTGCTTATTATAGTGCTAAGTCATCACTTCATAATGCTGGTTCTTAAGGTCATTTAAAAATGAGCAAAACATATAAACCATATAAAATACTTAACAATATTGAATTAAACACTTAAATTTTACCATGATAATAACTTACTATAATTTTATTTTACCAAAGATAAAAAATAAGAAAGAGTCCCTTAAAGAAAAGAAAAAATAGGTTCTTAATTTGACCAAGACAGGGATATATCTGTGAAAATTATTCCTAAATATTTTATACTTTTATATCATTCATTGTATTTTCAAATTTTGACTTTACAATTTTTGCGATTATTTACAGAAATGCAGTTTTGCATTATTAACCTTACAGGTAGCAAACTTACTAAATTTACTTAGTGTTCTAATTGCCTTTGTAGATTCTTTGAAGTTTTTGAAAATACCTTGACTGAGGGAAGGCAATTTTGTTTGTTTTTGTTTTTTGAGATAGGGTCTCCCTGGAGCCTCAGCTGGCCTGGAACTCACTATGTAGACCAGGCTGTCCTCAGTCTCACAGACATCTGCCTGCCTCTGCTTCCTGAGTGCTGGGATTAAAGGTGTGTACTTGGTTTCCAGCTCCCCACTGCATCTGATCTACTGTGTTACATTTTGGGGTTCTTAAATCCAGTAATTAAATTTACAATTTTAAATTTTCATTTTATTATTTACAGATTCTGTCTATGTAATTCTCTGGCTCATTTCTTTTTATCCCCTGTAGCTCTGTTTCCATTCCTTTTCTCATGAGTCCCCCCGCCCCAAAGTTGTCAGTCATTTAGTATTATTTTCTTTTTACTTGGTAACTTTTGGGTGATAGTTGAACATTAGTTATGGAAAACATGGAGCTGATGTGGTGAATGGCAAGTTCTTTGATGCTAGAGAGGACTTTCATACCTGAGAGGAGTTAGAAGTGTGACAGAGAGACCAAATCTGTGTTCAAGCTGATTCAGAGCAGGATTTCAGTTCTCCTGAAGAATGCACTGTTTTTGTTTTGCTCTTCTTGACAGCAGTTGGCACAAGCTTCCTGAAGAGGGCCACCTAGAAAATATCTCAGGATCTGTAGGCCTATAGTCTGCCCTGGTAGTATAAAACCACATATAGAAGCAATATTTAAATGAACAGGTATGGCTGTGTTTCCTTAAACTTTGTTTACAAGAACAAGCAGTTAGCCAGGCTGGACTTCCAGATCGTAGTTTCCAACTCTTGCTATAAATGTAGCTCTTCAGGTCTCCTGTATCAAGACTGGGTTAATTAAGATTCCTCCTTGGAAGGTCTCTTCAAAGCATTCTCAAACTACTGTTAGACCTGCTGTCACACTAAGCCAAGTGGCTACAGCAGCTTCCCTGAGGGGAGGTAGCATGGGATGCTGGGTCCCTCACTGCACTCACACCTATCTGGTCTTAGTTTCCAAGATGGCACTGGGGGAACTCTCTGATACCTCTGCAGGTTTTGTGTTGTTGTTGTGCATACATTTTTCTGTTGTTCAAGTAGTCTATCTGAGCCAGAAGTAGACAAAAATCTTTTTTGAAATTTAGATTTTCCTTGGCCTTTAAAAAAGAATGGAAAAATCATCTTATGTCAGAACAATTCTGTTGGTCACCCTCTACTTTTAACAGATCACTTCCACTGAATCTGTCCCATTGTCTACATGCTAGCCTGCTTTTAGTAAACAGACAAATCGTACAACAAACCACAAAAAAAAAACAATAACAAAGCCAGCTAGAACCTCCTAGTATTACTTTTCTATCTTCCACATGGTAGCCAGAGTATAAATTCTGGCTTTATAAAAATATAAAACATAAATTTGAGCATACCACTCATCCTACTTAAAACTCCATTGCTCTTAGAATATAAAAACAGAATACAAGACACTTTGAAATGGCTTTTTTGATCTTCCCTCTGACCCTTCAACATAATTTTTCAACATGCCCCTCCCCCACAAAACCTTGCTAGCAAATCACTTTGTAATATAAGCCTGAAATTTAGGCCCAGCTTGTGTTTGTGAATCTTTATAATGAGATAATTGTAGATCACTTCAAAACTGCATGGACTTCAGATTAAGTGTGCTATCAGATTGCATAGCTATGTATTGTGGAATCATTTGATTATGAAAAGAAGTGAAATCATATATAAATCAGTAGCATGGTGAGTGGGAACTGTGCTCTCTGATTCCTTAAAAAGAATAATAGTATTGACTACATCTCTAAATAGCCATTAATTCCAATTTTGATATAATTAAAAACCTAGGCTATTTTCTGTGTTTGTGTGGGGATGGCGTGTTTCTTCATCTCTATATTCTGTGCCCTGGAGCATGTGGTTCAGCTAGGTTGTGGCAGTCAGTAACTGCTGCACAAGGACATCGATGTTCCTGGCCCCTGTCCTGACAGGAAATTCAGGGCATTTCTATCTATGCCTTTCAGGTAGCATCCTTTTCAAGTGGATGACCATGGATCTGGAGGTCTCAGAGAAGCAGGAGGAGATTCTCTCCATCCTGGAAGAACAGTTTCCTAACTTGCCACCAAGAGATGACATCATCAGCGTGTTTCAGGAAACCCAGCTCAGTGCTCAGGGTGAGTGACCCTAGCTCTCTCCTTACTCCCAGGAGGAGTAGTTTCTATGTGGAGTGTTGTCAGGTCATTGGAGGTTAATGTAAACACAACTTTGACTGTTGTCCCTGTTGCTTGGTGCTTGTGGAGGAGTTTGAGGTTTGTGGTCATCTGCAGGCAGGTAGCCTGTGCTTGGCTCTTCCCCAGGCCTCTGCCTGGATGTGTGATTAAGCCACATGGCTAATGCACATAGTATCTGCACCTGTGCTGACTGAATTCTATTTTGAGAATGTGGCTAGAGCAATGTCAAGCAGATATGATGTGTGGTATTGATCACAATGACCTTGATCATATGTCACTGATTTTAGTGAAGATCAGAGAGAAGATAGCCAAGCTAATAAATTGTGAGTCCCGGCCATGTCAGGACAGTGAAGTTCCCTAATCGGCTATTTTTAATAATAAATATCTGAATTTCAATAGAGTGCCTAATTTACATAATTTTCTGATGGGATAACGTCCCGAATCCTCAAGACAACCCCAAGTCACACGTTTTATAATTCTTACTTTCCAGATGAGAACACTGAACCCCAGGCAGACTTCTTTGCTCTCCGCATTGAATATGCATAGCTAGCAAGTGGACAGGATGGGATCTGAATCCAGATCCTTTGACTTTAAGGGGGAAACATTAAATTAAAAAAAAAATCCCCTTACTTTGGAGTTCCCCAATGGCAAAACAGTGTATTTGACCACATGTAACACCGAGGAGACTAGAGTGCTTTATTCAGCAAATTAGCCCAGCAAGAAACCAGATCCCACTAGGGAACTCTGGGAAGGTTATAAAATTGCACATTAAGGTGGTCTACTGTGAATGCTGTGGTAGACCAAAGGAGATCTTCCCGGCCCTGAGGCCTGATTGCTAACTCTCTGGAATTTTATGAGTTGACTCAATTTTATGAGTTGGTTGACAGATTGAGATTAGCCGTGGTGATTGTTATGACACCACAGAAATGGACAAAACACTGCACACTGGGATTGGTTGCTGGGCTCCCTAGTCCTGTGGGGTCTGTAAATTCCCCAAAGTAGGCTCTATTGGCCAGTGAAGGTCCTCAGACAGACGGTGGAGCATCATGCTGGGCAAAATGAGATGAGAGGGTCCAAGGAATGTGGGCGGGCACTGACAGCATCTGTCACATGTTCACTTACTGTGTATGAGCATGGGAGCATGTGTGTGTACAGATGTACAGTTGCGTATGTCTTTTCATTCATTTCCAATATCATACCAAGCTGTTATTGTTACCATACGCTCTAGAAATCAAAATGGATCACATGTCAATCTGAGTCAAAGAAAAATATTTAGTAGCTACCTGTTTCCATGTTTCTGTGGTTGACAGAGTTCCATCCTGGCAGGGTGGGCATGACTCTGTCTTAATAAGAATCTGGAAAGGATGCCAGTGTTTCACTTGGCTTTATTGTGGCTCTTCTTCCAAGAAGTCAAATGTCAAGGCAGACCCTTTCTTGTTTGTGATAGGCTTCACTGAAGTAGCTGACTGCCACTGTACAGTTCTGAACAATGTAGTCTTTCTAGATTGTTCCTCCCATGAAGTAAGGAATTCAGTAACACCTACTGGTACAGGCTATACAAGAGTGGCAGCTCATTTGTTACAGTTTTATGGGACACATTGAAATAGAACGTTTTTGTTGTTGTTGTTGTTGTTTTGTTTTGCTTTTGTCTTTTTGAAGCAGGGTCTCCCTGTAGCCCCAGCTGTCCTGGAACTCACTATGTAGACCAGACTGACCTTGAACTCACAGAGATCCGCCTGCTGCTGCCTCCAAAGTGCTCAGACTACAGGCATGCAAAAAATATTTTATTCAATATTTTTATTTTATGTGTATGAATGTTATGTTCGCATGTAAGTAAGTGTGCCCATGTCGTGCAATGCCCGCGGAGGACAGAAGAGGCTGTCCGATCCCCTGGAACTCTATAGACAGTTGTTAGCTGCCATGTGGGTGCTGGCATTTGAACCTGGGTCTTCCGCAAGAACAGTCAGTGTTCTTAACCGCTGAGCCATCTCTCTAGCCCAAAAAAGAACATTTTAAATAAAATAGAACCAGCAATTAAAAAATTATAGGGGCTTCTCTAAATTTTGGCCTTGTTTAGTTTTATTTGACTAGTTTGTGTGGTGAGACTAGTTTTTCAGTGTTCCACCTCTGCCCATTCCTCCCCTAGGTACCTGCTCTGGACCTCTGGGGGCTAACACTTGAGTATTTCATTTCACACTTGACTCTGGCTTCTGGTTGGGTTTGGTCAATGGGAAAAATGGTGAGGATGCGGGGAGGGGAGTGAGATGATGCTTCTCATCCCTGCTCCCTTGCTGCTTTGACTGCAGGCATCTGGCAGCTTTTCTTCTCCAGCCCCAGAACCCTCTGTCTTCCTTTGTCCTTTCACGCACTGTGGCTGCTTCATTATTTCCACGTGTTTGTTTATCCGCTTACCCATCCGTAAGTGTCCTGCCACTAAAGAGCCTCCCTTTGCATCATGAGGGAGTTCTCTTTCCTGTTGACATCTTACCTGATATAGATGTTGTCACAAATGTATGTATGACTTAGTATATATTTATTATGGATAAAACTGATACTTTCAAATGTTGAACTCCATAGAACAAAGTCTTTAAGTAACCCCTTGATAGTTTTTTTGTTACCCAAGTATAAAGTGTGTTTTTTTTTAATTATTGTTGTTCACAGGTTTAAGTATTGAACAAACAATCTTGAAAGATCTAAAGGAGCTGTCAGATGGTGAAATAAAAGTGGCCATTAGCACAGTGAACATGACCCTCGAGGTAAGGACGGGATGCTTTCCCAGCAACAGCAGATTTAACACAATTGCACTCTGAGCTCCTGGCGTACAATTTCACAGTGCATGAGCTGTATGCAGCTTTTGCTGTGAATGTTTCTTTGTGGTATATTTGACTTGCATTTGGGTCAAGATTATGGTGGAAACACTATTCTAGGTCACTGAAAACTGCGAGACCTGGGTTCCCATTTTAGTAAGACAAAACCAAACCTTAAACACCCATATGAGTGATTAAGAATGATTAAGGTTCACTTCTATATTTTCTCTTTGCAAACAAGTTGTCCTCTGACGTTTATAAGCTATTTGGACATGGCCATTTTCATAATCAGCTATGACAACTCCAGTGTTAACAAGAAGCCTATACCTTCCAGTGTGCTTAATGAATGACTGGAGTGAATGCTCCCCTTGTCTTTGTATCTTTTCTTAGTAAATTAACTTTTGTTTACTTTGGGGATTTTCAATGACTTGTGTGTTGGTCTTAATTAACCTAACTGATAGGAACTATATTTTATAGAAGCACCCCTGTGTCTTGTGGGAGTCCATGCATTTCTTTAATTTTTTTTAAAAAAATTTAATTTTGTAATTTAAAAAAAATTAAAATTTAATAACCACATGATTAGAAACCGCATTTCATCACAGCTTTAACAAATTCAATAACACATTCCAGAGTAAGGATACCTCTCTTTCAAAGGTGGATGTAAATTTTTAGGTTCACAGTTGAATTAATACAGTCATATAATATTGAACTCAGTATAAACCCTGTAAGAAATAAAATTGAATGAGTTTTTACCCTTTAAAGAAGACCTCCATTTCATTTTAAGATATGCTGTTTCCTACATTTTTAATGCTACTAACACGTTTGCACATGTGTCTTTAATCTCTATGTATCTGATTATTACTACTCACAATCAGTTACACTCCTATCCTTAGTACCTGAGTATGGATATAAAGTCATCAGCTAGATTTCACTGGTAATGTTTATCACCTCTACTATTTAACATGAAGTAAATTTAAAAAATTTTTTAATAACTACATGATTAGAAGAAGCATTTCATTACAGCTTTAACATATTCAGTAACACACTCCAGAGCAAGAGTACATCTCTTTCGCAAGTGGCTGTAAGTTTCTAGGTTCACAGTTGAATTAATACAGTTATACAATATTGAACTCAGTATAAGCCCTGTAAGACATAAAATTGAATGAGTTCTTAAACTTTAAAAACGATCTCCATTTCATTTTAAAATACACTGTTTCTTACAGAACAACTCATCGTTTTTGCTACTAACACTGAGATGATGGCACATGCGTCTCTAATCTGTATGTATCTGATTATTACTAGTCATAATCAGTTGCACTTGGACCCTTGGCACTTGTGTTTGTCTGTAGAGGTCATTGGGTAGATTTCAGTGGTAAGGTTTATCACCTCTACGAATTAACATGACATAAATTTCCATGCTTCCTGCTCAAATATGATACATTTTTTAAAATTTGTTGATTTTTTTGGTGTGTGTGTGTGTGTATATCACACAGAACATAGACCATCCCAAACCGTCTTCTTCAATTATACACCCACTTCCCAGATGGCACCCTCCCATGGTCTCCCTCTCCCCACTAGAGCCCTTATACTCTGATATCCCTGCTGTCTGCACCCCCAGCCATTCCCCACTACTTGTCCATCTGGTGAATCTAGTCAGCCTATCTAGAGGTCTTTGTTTTAGGAAGGTCAGCTGTTCCTCATCTAGAGGCAATCAGTTGTCAATATTCCTTTAGAGAAGATTGGGGTCTGCTGTTCATCTTCCCAGTTCTATGCTGGGTTACTGTCTGGGAGTCTCTTGGGCCACCCTGACCAAAAACTTAAAAGAAGGAATCTCCTGTCTGGGGTCCCATGGGGTTGGGAGGAGCCCCTGGCTCCTTTCTTTTACCAGCTCCATCCATGTGAGGATAAGTCAAAGGTCCTGCTCGACCATTGTTGGCTTCTCTTGGAAGCATGGAGGAAATGATTCCTCCGTGTTGACCCTCCTCTTTATAGACTGGACACTGGCTCAAGTCCATCTGGTGGGGTCTCCTCAGCTTCCTTGATCAAGAGGCCAGATGACCTACCACCATTACAGGACATTTTGCACGATGCTCATAGTCCCTGGGAACTAATCGACCGAGGAGGGCAAGGAGCAAAAAGTGTCCTTTGAATCCCTCTGACAAGATTAGTATAGGCCTCAAAGTATGTCTGTTAAACATCTAAGAAGGTTAGTTCCACCAGTCTGGTACTTTTAATTACTGTGTGTCATGTAAATTAATCTTGGCCAAAGACCAATTATTCTCAGATAAACCTTACCTAGACATGTATTTCTTGATCTGGTATGTATAATTTGTCAGTAGGTTGTTGGACTAATATGGTTCCTTCTGGTTTTTAAAAATAACTCTTGCATTGTCTCACCCCTCCATCATGGTTTCCCCAATTAAGGTGACCCAATTTTTCTCCTTTCTCCTTAATAATACCCTTCTCCTATGGTCCTACCTCTCTTGAGCTCCTTCTTTCCCTTTATTCCCTAGGTTCCTTGTATACCCTTCCCTCCCCCCTCCCTTAAACTAACCCAATTTTTATCCATATCTCCCTTATTAAGGCCTGTTACCTACTATTCTTCTCCTTCAGGTTCTTTCTTTTCCTTTACCTCCCTGGTTCCTTTCCATTATCCTGGTTCCTGTAGTTATGTATGGATACATACTCACTTATCAGAGTTTGGTTCTAGGATCCACATATGAGGGAGAACATATGTAGACTTTTTTCCTGAGTCTGTGTTACTTCACTTGGTATAACAGTTTCTAGTTCCATCCATTTACCTGCAAATTTCATGATTTCATCTTTCTTTACTGCTGAGTAAAACTCCATTGTATAAATGAACCACATTTTCATTATCCACTCATCAATTGAGGGACACTTAGGTTGCTTCCATCTCTTAGCTATTGTGAAAAGAGCAGCAACAAACATGGATGTACAAGTGTCTCTGCAATAGGATGAGTTCTTTTGGGTATATATGCCAAGGAGTGGTATAACTGGGTCAAATGGTAGGTTCATTTGTAGTTTTTTAAGAATTCTCCACACTGCTTCCCATAGAGGTTGAGCAAGTTTGCAGCCCCACAAGCAGTGGATGAGTGTTCCCCTTTCCCCACATCCTCTCCAACATTTGGTATCATTGTTAACTGATTTTAGACAGTCTGAGTGGGATAAGATGAAATCTTAAATTGCTTTTAATTTGCATTTCCCTAATTACAAATGATGTTGAACGTCTTTTAAGATGTTTCTTAGCTATCTTTATTCCTTATTTTAAGAACACTTTGTTCAGATTCTTAGCCTGTCTTTCAGTTGGGTCACTTGTTTCTTGATTCTTTTTCAAATTCTTTATATATTCTAGATGTGAAACCTCTGCCAGTCTGTCGGGTATGTCGCTGGTGAAGATTATCCCCCATTCATGGAGTTTTCTTTTTACTTCCCTGGTTGCCTGCTTTGATGTACAGAAGCTTTTTAGTTTAATGAGGTCCTATTTGTTAATTCTTGACCTTGTTTCCTGAGCAATTGATGTCCAATTTAGAAATTCCTTTCCTACACCTTTTCCGTGTAGGTTTTTGCCAATGTTTTCTTCTAACAGTTTCAGAGTTTTAGGCTTTACATTGAGGTCTTTGATCCATTTGGAATTGACTTTTGTGCAGGGTGAAAGATAGGGGTTTAGTTTCATTCTACAAGTGGAGATCCAGTTTTGCCAGCACCATTTGCTAAACATGCTGTCTTTCCTCCAGTTAATGTTCTTGGCCCCTTTGTCAAATATCAGGTGACTGAAATTGCATTTACTCATATTTGGGTCTTCAATTTTGTTCCATTGATCTATAGGTCTATTTTTGTGCCAGTACCATGTTGTTTTAATGACTATAGCTTTGTAATACGGCTTAAAATCTGGAATAGTAATATGCCCTCCATTGCACTTAGTGCTCGGAGTTGCTTTGGCTATCCAAGTTCTTTTGTGCTTCCATATGAATCTTAGGATGGTGTTTTGCAATTCTGTGAAGAATGTCATGGGGATTTTCATTGGCATTGTATGGAATGTATAAATGGCTTTTGGTAGGATGGTCATTTTCACAATATTAATTCTTCTAATCCATGAACAT